CAATCCTTTGACGAGAAACTCCGCGATTCCACCAAATCTCGCCGGATCCAGAACAAGCTGTCGGCACTCAGGAGTTTGGTGGAGGGGGCTAGTGGTCTAGGGTTATGGCGAGGCAGTGGGGAATCAATGGCCCAGAGTTGGCCGAAGAACTCGACCACCACCTCGTCCTCGTGAAGCTTATCCTCCAGATCCAACTGCTCCCCTGGTGAGTCACGATCTCCCCTCCTCCCACTGAGATGTGGGGTAGAGGGCTGCCTCCTCTGGCTTGCGGACCCGGCCTTACTGTGGGGCCGCGTCGTCATCCATGGAGGGTAAGGCCATGGTGGTGGATCGAGCTCGAGCCCCGTACGCCCCCGCATGGCAGTCTCTAGAGACATCATTTTCTTGTCTTGATTTCAAATTGAGAGGCGATCGCTCCTTTCCGAGATTTTCTGATGCAAAATTTTAGCAAGTGCCTATAACGCAAACCACTTTCATCGTGTGTGACTTGGGCATGGAATAAAAGTTCCTAATGTCCAATCATTATAGAGGACGACGAACCAAAAGATCAAATGAACTCTAGGGATCATATATAACTTGTGCATGCATGGAATAGAATCTCCCGAGAAAAATTGCAATAGATAGGGGACAAGGAATCAAGTGTTATTTCTTTCAGAAGGTTAGAGACTAGATGATGACCTGTGGAGAATCATGTGTGACTTGTGCGTGAAGTACAAGTTCCAAATTCCAATGGCAAAATCATAACAGAGGACGATGAAAATATCCAATGAATTGTGGGAATCATATATGACTTGTGCGTGGAATAGAAGCCGGACAATGGATCAAGCATTATCTCTTTCTAAAACACCCCGGCCAAATGACACGTTTTTTACAGCTTATCCTGACCAAACTTCGCTTGAACTTATCAAACTTATCTACTTTTCAGCCTGGCTTTTCAGCCAAACGAACAAGTCAGGGCACTTATATTGGTCGTTCTTTTACTCCACTAGCAGAGATGCACGTGCGACACACACGTATTTATAAAAAAATATCTTTTATAGTGAAGGTGTATCAAAGAAGTTTTAAGAAATTAATTCTTATATTTGAGCTCATAGTTTTGAATTGAACCTAGCATGTTAATAATTCTTTTGGAAAGTCTGTGTGAAAAAACAAGGTTTCATGTCTATAATGTAAATAAGGTCCAATTTAGTTGGAAAACCAGGGAATATATTACATTTTAAAAACACATTTATATTATCAATTAATCATATCAATATTTATGTACAAACATCGAATTGTAACCATATATTGCTTTTAATTTGAAAAACATGCTGTATGCGTATTAATCAAATTATTATTTAATGTAAAATTCAGAAATATGTGTGGCATGTTCACCGAATCAGCGTAGCTGCTAATATGTATCTCACGTTAGCAAAAGTACACAACAGGAAGAACGGATCGAGTCAGAGCTAGATCAGAAAAAACAACTTGGGATTAAAGATGCTAAGACTGGAATACGAGAATCTGTATTTGTATGGAAAAACTTAATGAATGGATAGAAAGTTACGTAGTTTCTCCACATGACCTCTGCTCACGTACGTACCTCTGCTGAGTGCTGACCAAAGATGAACTGGGCGCCTTGCATCTCCTGAGTCCTGACGACGTTCCGCTCGGCCGGCTTGCTGCACCCACAAGGATGGTCGGCATTGAGTGCTAGCAATTGTCGTGACGAAGCTCCTAGCTGTGACGGGTAGGACGTGCATCGTTAGACGACAATCTCGTGCAAAGATCACGGGAACACACGTAGGTGAGTGAGTTGACATATGAGAGTTATTAGAGGAGACAGATCGATGGATATCATGGAGAAGATGACCACACGACATGGCCTTCCCGTGATGTGGCGAGTTTCCGGCAAGGGTTAGACAACGGCCATCAGCAGGGTGCGAAGTCTTGAGACGGTGGTGGTTTTCTCCATCGGCCTCTCCTCATCGGCGGTGACGACGGCAATGGCAGTACCTGGCCTGGACGAACTTGTGGCACCGATGGTTCCTTCGTTATGCAGCTAGGGCATGTACCTAACCGAGAGGGAGTCGAGCTGCCGTTGTGTAGGCGTACGTGACCAAGAGGGACTCGAGCCGGGGTGATGTAAGATCTCGGACGACGGAAGGCTCATGTGACACTACATCTAGATTGAACGGTTATTAATGAGGGAGAGTAAGATCTCGGACGACGGAAGGCTTATATAAAACGGTGTCAAGATCAAACGGTTATGAAAGAGGGATAGCCCCCAACAAAAAACCCGCTCTTTTATAATGTGATTTGTTCAACTTATTGGGGAAGTGCTTCCTAGCTTTACCAAACAGAATCATGGTCCCATGGGAAAGCCATAGCACATGCAGGAGGAACCATCCTAAAAGATCAAAGCTTAAATGTAAACCAAGAAGAATCACCATTACTTGAGCGTGGAATAGAAGCTCCCATAGCAAAAGCAAGTATTCCTCCATTTCAAAATGTAAGATGTAAGATGTAACACGCTAGGTTTGTCTTCAGTCAATGTTCTCTAATACTAAGTAAGTTCATACAAAAATACTCCATTGTTCTAAATTGTAAGTCATTCTGGCATTTCTAGTTACATAATTCCACCACTTCAAATTATAAGATGTTTTATCTTTTCTAGATACATTGCTTTTACTATGTATTTAGATATAGAGTATATCTAAGTGATAGTGAAAACTATATATCTAGAAAAGTCAAAACATCTTATAATTTCAAATGGGGAGAGTAGTTTTTATTATGTATTCAGATATAATATATATCTAGCTATCTAGGTGTGTAGTAAAAAAATTATATATCTAAAAAACACAAAACGACTTACAATTTTGAAAGGGGGAGTACTACATAACCTGTCAAATTAGTTTCATTAAATCCACTGTAAAATATATTTTGATGGTGTATTTATTTGTATACTATATGTCAATATAGTTTACAAGTGGATAAAGGTAAGAAAATATCTATATAATATAAGTATAGCGTTAGAAAATGAGCAAATTTAAATAAGAAAAAGCAGATATAAACAATCATGTATATAGATGGTCCAATACTACTTAACCCTAGTTTGGATCACAGCTGGACTATATAAATTAGATGAAGTAATTCGGTAGTAATCCGAATATGATTATGGGTTAGATTATTATAATCCAAGCACCAGATTATAATAATTGTATAATCCATCCGAGACATGCTAATTTAAGATTATGGATGCTAAAAAGATCAACTTGCCCCTCCACCTTATACTCTAACCAACAAGAATTCACCCACTATAATTTAGTTTTCCAAATAGTCTAAATTATTTTAATCCATAATTAAGATTATTATTATTCCATTCATAATCTTGATTACTATAATCGTATAGGGATCCGAACATGATCTTAACAAAAAAAAAGGCTTAGCTTATAAAGTCAGTCTTGACAATAACTCAATAATAATATACATCATTAGTAAAAAGTAATAGCATGTGGACCACTTGTACTCACCACCATTCAAGAGACCTGGTACTTGTAATCCCCACTTATATCTGTCTTTTTCCGTTTTGCTAGTCGTCCCCTCTAACGCGGGCCGGGCTTAGACGGGCCCGAGAGGAAGAAAGAAAGCACAATTCCCCCAAAACCCTCTTCCTAGTATTCCCCTCTAACGCGCGCCGGGCTTAGACGAGCACGGGAGGAGGAAAGAAAACACAGTTCCCAAAACCATCAGGAGTGTAGTTCCTGACAATCAACCGTTAGGAATTGACCGATAGAAAGGTTGATTTCTCCTGACGGCCAGCAAACAGGAAAGCAGTTCCTGATGGTCTACATTTGACCAAGCGGTCAAAGAACACTAGTGACAGTAAAAGCCGTCAGGGATATGAAACTGATAGGATTACCCTGTTCCTCTCCCAACATGCCGTCAGGGATATGAAACTGATAGGATTACCCTGTTCCTCTCCCAACATGACGCCGACAGAAGTAACAAACAGGCCAACAAGAAACTGATATAAGGCAAACAATTTTACAGCAACCACATACTTGCATGGTTTTAGCTCGCAATAGCAGTCTTGATATCTAATACACATGTTATATGCATTCAAACATCATAATACATGTAGACAATATTCATTAATCAGCATGTAGCTAAAGACTAAAGTACATCGTTTATCAAGCATGTCCACAAATTCACAGCTCACAAAAACATGTGTAAGCTCTACAAAAGCAGCAAACATACTGCTACTGCTTTATTCCTGATTCAATTGAATAGTTGGCTTTGTTTCTATGAGACCAGTAGCTTCTCTTGGCATTGAGACTTGAGTCACCTACAAGTGTCAGAATGTTACAACCATTAGTTGGCTTTAATAAAAAAAATGCAAAAGGGTACAATTCTGCAAAAAAACAAGTTAATATATTGAGGTCCAAAACAAAAGAACATTGTATGACTAACATCAAGAGGTCAAAGATAATTACAAATGTAGTTTACCAAAAGATCTAGAATATGTCAACTGTGAAGCAACAGATCCCCGATAAAAGTGTAGTTTACTAAAAATGCAAGCTAGGTATAATATTCTTGCCAGGCCGGCACCACTTGCGTGGGTCGAGGAACGACGAACAAACAAATCCTTTATGAGCTTTTTGCCCACAGATGACTATATGAGATATTCATATGACATACAGCCATACAGGCGCATATGCATGGCAACCCTTGATACTGCTAGCTAGCCTGCCCCCGGTAAACCAATTGAACTAGAGGCAGGCACCCACCAGCAGCAGTCAGCTGCCCGGCAGCCGGCTGCAGAGAGCGATGGCCGAGCTCGCAACGGGTGCCGTGAACTCACTGCTGGGCGTGATCCGGAACGAGGCGGCGCTACTGCGCGGCGTCCATGGCGACGTGCAGTTCATCAAGGAGGAGATGGAGAGCATGAACAGCTTCCTGCTGCACCTGGCCAGGACGGCACCCCCGGCGAGGAGCACGACGAGCAGGTCCAGACGTGGATGGGGCAGGTCCGGCTGCTCGCCCACGACTGCAACAACTGCCTCGACGTGTACCTGAGCCGCGGCAACCCCGACATCCACCTCCCCAAGAAAGGGCCCCTGCGCTACCTCCTGTGGGGTCACTGGTTCCTGCAGAAGATGATCGCGCAGCACCAAGCGGCAGGCCAGCTGAAGACGCTCAAGGAGCGGGCGCGCGACGTCGGCGAGCGGCGGCTGAGGTACAGCGTGAAGGTCCCAGAGAAGCCGGCCTCAGCCGCCGGAGACAAGGAACAAGATGGTGGTGATGATCAGCTCGTGGTGGCAACAGCAACGGCGGTCGTCGATCATTCTGGTGACGATGGGAGGGCCTTCTTCCAGCCTCGCACCCTGGACGACTACCTCGAGGAGAAGGTCGTCCAATGGATAACAACACACATACTCCTACATGAAACCAGCAAAAGACCCAAGGGATCGATGATACCGTCCGTCTCCATTGTTGTTGCACCGGAACCGGATGTAGACAAGGACGCCGGCTCTATTGCGCATGAAGCTTTGGCCATAGTGCGTGCGGAGAACCAGTTCAAGTCCAGTGTCCTGGTCGACATCCCGTCAGTGCACTTGGATTTTATGCCCCTACGACCCAAGGAGATTCTCTACTACATCCTGCGGGAGCTCAACAAGGAGCCCGAGCATGCCAAATCCCCGTCCCAGTCCCAGGACGAACAGGAAGGGGAAGGCACAGATGAGAAGCAAGGGGATGATGAGGCTGACAAGCAGTATATTGAACGGAGTAGAAAATGGGATATTTATTTTGAAAAAAAGGAATTGATGAAGGAAGTCAAGAGAAATATCCAAGCCATGCAGCTCAAAGACAAGATTGAAGAGATCAAGAAGGAACTTGAGCAAGGGAAAAGCGACAAGCTGCTGCTGTGGGGCCCCAAGAAACAAATGAAGAAGGACGATGAGAAGAAAAAGATGAAAGACAAAATCTCCGAAAAAAACTTAGGCGTACTCCTCCTGCTGCTGCTCAAGTCAGCTACAGCTGCTGCAGATGGACAAGACCAAGAAAGGAAGAATAAAGACATGCCTACATTGGCTCCATGGTATGACGACATTGTAGAGGAAGCAGCCAAGAAGCTTCAAGAGTGCATAGAGAAGGAGGAGGAACTAGAAGAAGAACAACAAGAAGAAGAAGAATACGAGGACTATGACGAAGAGTATTATGTTGATGAAGATGACAACAGTGATGGTGATGAAGATGAAGATGAAGATGACAACGAAGATGACGACGACGATAAGGGCCCGATTCTTCTCGACTCTGAACAGTATGCCAACATCCTGCGGGAGGTGTTCCAAAAGAATAGCAACAGCAAGCCCCAGCAACAGGGCCAGCAACATGATCAAGACAACACCCATACATTGGGCGAGAATCAGATAAAACAAATTGTTGAAATCGAAAAGGCCAAACTGGAACTCCTGCAGCAGCTGTTGCATGCGAGGACCAGCTACAACAGCAAGTCCCCGCAAGCCCAGGAGGAAGACAGTTTGGCGACCGCACAAGCTACAAACTCCAGGACGAGCAAGGATCCAAGCACAGAAAAAACTGACACAGCAAAGACAAAATCTGATGGCCAGGATGGAAACCTCCAGCTCCTGGATCCAGCAGCTATTGCTCAAGGAACCATAGAGAAGAAGGAACATGCGGAGACAAGCAATACCAATAAGTCCCTGCAGGCCCCCGAGCAAGGCAGCTTGGCAACTGGCCAAGCCACAAATTTCACAATGACTGTACCGGAAGAGGGCCCAAGCAAAAAAATAATTAAAAAGAAAGGACCAGCTAAATTGGATGGTCAGGATCAAAACCTCGAAGCAATTGTTCAAGAAACTAAGGAGAAGATGGAAGAAGTCAAGTGGAAAATTAACGAGCAACTGAAGATCAGGAGGATAATGGACAAGATTAAAAAATGCCTGAAAGATGAAAGTGCCGTGATTATCCTCAAAATTCATGATCGGATGATCCATGATTTCCCATGGGACGAGACCAGAAATGCTTTGAGCTTTTTGGATTGCATTGCAGGTGCTGTGATTGTCACCAACCCAAGTGACAGCAAACAAGAATATTGCTATCCCCAAAAGCAGGAACCCATAAACTATTCTCTTGTTGGCCTTTACCATGATGATATTCTCAAGCGTACAAGCCAAAAGAAGCATGAGAAGATTATTCGTGACATCCTAGACATGTGTAAGCTAGATGAGTTCTGCATGAAGATCTTTGCTCATGCTTTGTATGCCAACCCCAAGAGGCACATTGAAGACCTGAACAAGCTGCACAGCACACTGCAGAAGGTTTCACCAAATTCACCTGCTAGTATTGCTAAGAAGGTGTTCAAGTTCTCTTACAATGATCTGGTTAAAGAATACAAATCATGCCTATTGTACCTAGCTATCTTCCCTCTAGAATACAAAATCAGGAGGTCAACCTTGATAGGAAGATGGGTTGCAGAAGGGCTGATAACTACAGAAGACTGGCTCTGGTCCCATTCAGTGTGTAAAGCCGAAAAATGTTTTGACAACCTCATCAGACGGTTGCTTGTTCATCCTGTTGATTTTGGTGCTACAGGAGAGGTCAAGAGTTGCATGGTGACAAAGATAATTCATGGTTTCATTACCAATATTGCGGAGAAACAACATATCATCGTGGCGCGCCTGTCACATCATTTGGCTCAACATTTCTCCATTTACAATGATCTCCGGCCGTGGCTCGTGGCTCTGATACAATCACTGATTTCTTCAAAAAGCTTTCCAAATCATCTCCCCTACTCAAGGTGCTAGATCTACAAGGTTGTCAGTGCTTCGACGGGAAGAATATATGGTTCCTTAAGCAAATCTGTAGCAAGATCTTACTACTCAAGTACCTAAGCCTAAGGGGAACAAATGCTACACAGCTTCCTATTGAAATCAACAACCTCCAAGAGCTGGAGGTTTTGGATATCAGACAGACCAAGGTGCCAGCAAAGGCAACAAGACATATCCGGCTACTAAAGCTGAAGCGTCTGCTGGCTGGCGACACTGATCCAAGTCTAAGCAGCACTGACATTGCCAGTGTCCAGGTTCCTGAAAAGGTTGAAAATATGGAACATATGGAGGTACTGTCCAATGTCAAGCCACTGAGTAGTCAAGATTTGAAAGACATTGGAACACTTTATGAGTTGAGGAAGCTCGGTCTGGTTATTGAGGACAAGGATAGTCACCTCAGGGAGTTGTTTATATTGATCAGTAACCTACACAAATACCTTCGGTCTCTGTCTATCACTCTTCATTCCACAACCAAACGCGAGGGCACTCCCTACAGCAGAGGTTATTCTTATTTGCTGAATGCTACCAATAGAAGGTTATCTAGCAGTAATACTGAATATCATAGCCTGCTGAAAGACCCTCCCAAGCTTCTTGAGAGTCTAAACATAAGTGGAACCACACAAAATGTGCAGCTTCTTCAAGAATTGCTGGCCAACGGCGTTAAAGAACTTGTCAAGGTAACTTTAAGTAACACCTCACTAAAACAGGACGATCTGGAGGTCCTCGGCAAGCTGCCCAAGTTGAGATGTTTCAGACTTCAAGATATTTCATGCACTAACACAAAGCTCACCTTCAACGAGGTTGAATTCCCAAGACTCAAGTACTTTATTTTTGAGGGCTCAAGTACGACTGACATCAGTTTTCAAGTTGAAGGGACACATGGGCTCGAGGAGATCGTTTTGTCCTTGAACATTGATGGCCTTCCAAATATGGAGCACGAACTGGAGGAGCACAAGTCAAACAACACTGCCACCAACACCAACACCATTGCTGCTGCCACCACTGGAGTCAGTGGCCTTCCAACACAGGAGCAGAACAAGTCAAACACCACCACCACCACCACCACCAATGCCACCACCACCACCACCACTGAAGTCAATGTCCTTCCAAAACTGGAGCAGGAGTCAAACAAAAATGACACCACTACCGTCGCAGCCACCACCACCACCACCACCACCACCGATGACGCCACCACCACCACCGATGACGCCACCGTCACCACTGATTCCACCACCACTAAAGTCAATGTCCTTCCAAAACTGGAGCAGGAGTCAAACAACAACGACACTGCTACCGTCGCAGCCACCACCACCACTGTAGTTGATAGCCTTCCAAAACTAGAGGAGCAGAAGTCAAACAACAGCACTACCACCATCAACACCACCACTGGAGTCGACAGCCTTCCGAAACAAGAGGAGCATGACTTACACCCCATCACCACCACCCGCAATAGCGTGCTGCTTTCATTGTTTGACAATAATGCCAAGCAAATAGCCAAGGTAACTCTTCGTGGTACCCTGCTAAAGGAAGATGCCCTACGAAAACTTGCTAAGAAACCAAAACTACGCTGCCTGGTGCTCTTAGAGAAGTCTTATGATGAAAGCAATCTTACCTTCAATGAAGATGACTTTCCAAAGCTCAACATTCTTATCGTCAACTGCTCCAACATCAACAAGATTAACTTCACCACAAGATCTGCTCCGAAGCTTGAGAAGATCATCTGGACATTCGCCAAGGACAGGACCGATTATTCCCTCTCCGGCATCAACAACCTTCCGAAACTGAAGGATTTCGAGTTCTACGGTGATGCTGTCCCTCATCAGGTGCGAGAAGAGCTTAACAAACATAGAAACAAACCGATCCTTAAGAAAAACAAACCAGAAAATCAAGAGCAAGAAATAGGAAACACACCAGAAGAGAAGGGCACTACATGTTTCCCATTCTGCTGGAAGAACAAGGTTTGACACTAGAGGAACCTCTCCTTTCATCCATTCATCATTGGTGCTGTTTGTGTGTGCTCGTGTGGTTTGGCATCTGTTCTACTTGTGTGTGCGTTTATATATTATGCATGTGTGTCTACTGAGTGTCTGACTGTCTGGTCACTTGCGTTATGCTCCGTGGTTGTGTTTGAGCATAGTGCCTGTGTATCTATGCTTACATATTTGGATTTATGGCTTTCGTATAGATCATCATGCTACATGCATGGTTGTCTAGATCATCATGCTGCATGCATGGTTTCATGTAATAAGTGCAACGCTTGTGCACACATTTGACTTGTTATTAATGTATTAGTGTGCAATATATTGTGCTTTGACTGGGTTCTGCAACTCAACACTGAAGCTGAGTGGAACCATTGGGTATTGATTATTTGATCCACTGAAACAGCATGTGTGCAGAAGCTAGATTGTGTAGCAATAACATATAAGTTACAGCGGTGAGTAGGAATCACCTTCAGCCAATGAGACTAGTACCATGACAAATAGCAGAGTGAAATTAAATATCACAAGCATGTATAGCTGTAATGGTCTCTGTTCATTTCAATAGAACATTGCTGAAATTCCAACATTGATAAACACTCAATTGGATATTGATACAAAATTTCATGAACACAACTACTGGTAGTAAAGCAGCACATTTTATATATGTGTGTCACCTTATCGATTTTGCTAGTGCCTCCATCCGTACTCCTTAGTCATATTTACTGAGGATCTTCGGGAAAGAAAAGAGATTGCATATATGCAATGAAACTACATCATCAGGTGTAATGATGGTGAAACTACATCTAGTGTAATGATGGTGAAAGTACATCATCTAATGCAAAAAAAGGGCGTACCCAGTGCAGAGAGCTCCCGCTCTGTGCGGGGTCTGGGGAAGGGTGTCAGTGGCAAGTCTTACCCTCACCTGTGCAATGCGATATATTAAAATTTTCATTGTCCATGGATCAACCATTTCACCCTAAACAGATATTATAATGTCTAGACTTTACAGCACTGTATTGGCAAAATATTATAGACTATCTATAGCAAAGGACAGGTGGGAAACACGAATATGAGAAGAAACACTCCGAAAAACCACAGAGGAGAAAAGGGCACTAGAGGAAATGTAATGATGGCGACACCCGCTTACTGTGATTTGATTTGTGCAGACAGTGGCAGCCCATGATCTACTCCTAGTTTTTTAATCTATGTATTCCAATGCAGATTACAGAGTCCAGACCTCGAATTATGGCAACAATATACAGTGAGCAGCTAATAACACCACGTACTGTAGCCTAAGAAAAACATATTGGGAAATAGGGACAGATCAAAAGAGTTACCAAAAAAAACTAACAAATATCTCGCTCATAAATAAAGGGGAGAAACGTGACAACTGACGTATCAATTAAAGAAAAAAGTTGGATCTGACAACAATTAAGGCCAGGAAAGAGGCAGGTTAGCTCACAGCGAATTGGCTGGCGCCCTTGAGCTGCTCTCCTGAATGACCTGCCCATGAGCAATTAGCAGCACCGCCCCCAACGGCCAACACACTGCTATGCTGCGGGGATATCCGATCGATCGCCACCGCACCTATCTGACAAGTGAAACCAAACCAGATTTAGTCAAGTGTGGGGAGGATATGCCAAATGGCAGCGTCGTTGAATGCACCCCGTGTCGGGTACTCTAGCCGCATTACGCCGGACACCTTACAGGCGTGCGCGCGGGCGACAAAGGCCTTCGTGCGGAGACAGAGCGCCGGACGGTGCGGAGGACGAATGGAGTGCGGAGACAGTGCAGCACCACAACGCCTAAGGCCTAACTCCTCATGCTCCTCCCGCTCATCCGCGGCGTCGCCTCCACCTCCTACTTCTCTTCGCTCTCATCCTCTCTCCTCGGTCTCTGGAGGTGGAGGCAGCGCTGCAGCAAATCGTTGGACTGGTGTGTGTGGCCGACCGGGCCACCGGGCTGACGGGCTCATCGTAGGTATGCGTTGTGCCTAGTACCTCGGCCCGATGGGCTGTACGCTGACATCCCCGCCGTATGTGGGCCACCAAAAGCCAGGGCCAGGTCCAGTTTTATTATTTTTTTAACCTAAAAAATACGAATATTTTAATAACATCATTGTCCCAAACTAATTTTTTTAGAAACTATTTAGTCGCATCAAAGACGGTGAAGTGAGTCGCTACATGTAAGACACACTCGCGTCTATGTAAAAACTTTTCACGTAAGCCATGACGTGGAGCTTGAGTCATAGTATTATTCTCATGAGAATTATTTTTTTGCCATGAAAAAAGCTTGGCTTACTTTCTTGACTCTTTTATTTTTGAACTTACCAATTTAGCCCAAAATCTATCTTTAGTCCCTTATATGTCCCTTCCGTTATGTCGACGTAATATCATCGGCAGTCCTCTAAGAGGTATCCCATGAAGGTAGATTGATCGGCAGAAAGACGTGTAATCAAGAATAAGAAGGCAACAGAGACACACGAGTTAGACAGGTTCAGACCGTCAGTATGACGTAATACCCTACTCATGTGGCCTGTTAGTTTGTATTGGCTATCGTATGATATTCCGTGTGTTTGGAGGGGGTCCCTGCCCACCTTATATAGTCTGGAGGGCAGGGTTACAAGTCGGTTAGATATGAGAGATAACCGGAAAGTAATAATAAATTATAGGAATCTTGGGATCATACGTATCCTAACAGATCTCATAATATCTTCAGGATATCTTTCCGGTATCCTGCGGGAGGCGCCGAGCAGAGTCGTGCCCCGCAAGGCTTTGTCTTGTGGGCTGGTCCGCCCCTGGGGGCGCAACCCATGTGGTCTGTCGTGGGTATCCGGGGTCGTACCCCCACAGCTAGTCCCCGAGCGCCTTGTACTCATTGTGCAACACCATCTTGAGCTTGTCCGAATAGGTGCGAACAAAGCCGAGCAGTCAAACTCATGGTCCGACCACCGTGATGAGTTGCCGAGCAGTTGTGAGCAGTTGCCGAGCAGCGTGAACCATTATCGAGCAACGTGAACCGTCGCCGAGCAGTGTGAGCCATCGTCGAGCAGTGTAAGCCAAGTATGTCTTGCCATAAGGGTGTAAGGAGCTCAAGTTCAAAATCAAAAATTTCTTCGCAGTAGACCAAGTGTGTCCACTTAGAGTCCGACCACGAGAAAGGGAGATAGTCTTCTTCAGCTTTAAGAGGCGCGGAGTATTCCAGAATAAAGCAAACACACTCACCGCGAGGTGAAGTGTGCCCACTTAGTCCCCGAGCCTGACAGTAGATGACGTAGTCATGTGGTGCCAGGGTCCAAAGTAGAAGAATAGTAAAAGACCAGCCGAGCAAGCAGCCAGTCCCCGGGCGTAGCCCCGAGGTGAGAAAAAAGCACATTCACCGCAAGGTGAAGTGTGCCCACTTAGTCCCCGATCCTGACAGTAGGTGACATGGTCACGTGGTGCTACGGGTCAGAAACAGCAGTCAACTGAAGAAAAATGCCCAATGCGGCGAGGAACCGAGACATAATGCTGACGCAGTCCCCGAGCCACGAGAGGAAATCTTGGAGGAAACGAATCGCGGAGAAAATATCGGAGTAATGGATGTACAGTAGTAATTACTGAGCCGTAACGGTTGGCGGAGAAGTCGGCGAATATTCGGCGACCCGTAACAAATTGCGGAGATAAATCGGTGATACGGGCCGCGGTTGCGCGAAAGCCCAAGTAACAGCCCACTTTGTTGTTGCGGAGAATTCAGAGAGGTGCAAATCGTGGGAGCGGTTTTCCAAAAACCCTCGAATCCAAAAAGGTGGGGGAGTGCTTTATAACTGCGCCGCCGCACCCCGCTCTCCCACCTTTGCCACTTTGCTATTTCATCTTCTTCCTTAGCCCTCGCATTTTTAGATTCACATCCACGCGCGCTTCCGCCGCCAATCCCCATTTTGATCTGAGAGATGGCGCCGAAGAGGGGAGCTGTGAACCCAAAGAAGAGCAAGCAGGTGAGCAAGCCACCATGATGAAGAGTGGGTGCCATCGCGCACGGGGGAGGTGGAACTCAATAGATTGGTGGAGGCGGGTGTTCTTCCCGACCATGTCACCACCGGATGGCGGCCGGCCCTCGGTGAGCCCTTTCCAATGCCTCATACCGACAAAGTTGTAGTATTTGAGGACTACTTTTGGCGTGGATTAGGCTTTCCTGTTCACCCATTCTTGAGGGATTTGTTAGAGTTTTGGAGAGTCAATCTGGGCAACCTTCACCCAAACACCATATTACACATATCTATCTTCATCCATTTTTGTGAGGCATATCTCGGAATCCTTCCCCACTTCATACTCTTTTGTCACCTGTTCTGGCTGAAGAAGAGAGGTGGTGGTGGTTCCAAGGTGGTCAGCGGAGTATACATTCAGCTACACGATGGAATGGCGGGCGAGTAACTTACTGTGCCGCTGAACACGTCGTTGAAGGGGTGGAACGCTAGGTGGTTCTACATGAAGCAGAGCCACCCTACCATCCGCTGCGATGTTGACCACATCTCGGAGAGCCAAAAGAGCTGGTCGGAGATGCCAAGCAGCGCTGATATGGAGCAAGTGAGGGAGCTCCTTGGCTTAATAAAGGCATGAAGACCAACGGTGGATTGGTGGTGATGAGCTTTATAGTGCGTCGCGTCCAGCCCTGCAAGGAGAGGGCTCATGCAGCCTTTAATTTCAAGGGGGGACCGACGGTACCTGGGAGAGGACGGAGATGCTATCGAGGGACGTAGTGCAAGAGCGGGCTACAGAGCTATTCGCTCCATTTGCCTCGTTCAACTTGCCAAGGCAGACGAGACCCTTTCACTGCAAAAATCTGCCTCCTCTGGTAAATATCTCAATTGTGTGTTCCTGGTGCTTTTTATCTTCTATCATTGCCAAGCAGTGGACTGATTCACTTATGCGAAGATCCATTCGCAGGAAAGAGCGGTGTACTTCTCGGGCGTGCCGAGGGGCGATTGGCCTCAGGCGGTAGATGCC